CAAGTCCCCCTGTTTTCTCCCCCCCTCCCCTACTCGAACCCCCAGCACATGCTGTTCGCACTACAAGCTTACACCAGTGCCATCGAAAAGATGATCAATTGAATGCGACGAGGTCGATGCCCCAGCTTCTGCGCACCTGCACGATCGCCATGAGCTCCTTGATGAATTCCTCCAGAACGATCGTGTTGTCCAGCACGCTCGACAGCGTTGCCTTGCCGCTGCGGGTTGCATCTCCTGCGGTCGGTGGAGGACGCCACATCGGTGCGCCCACCGCAGGCTGGGTCTTGACCACCACGACGGCGGTCTGACGAAAGTGCTCCGCGTATGGGTTGATGGTTGAGCTCGAGATCCTCCGTTCGCCCGCAGTGGGGCGCTCGGGCTCCGCCTTAGCCGCAGTCGTAGGCGTGCGCGTCGGTCGACCTCCAAACAGACGTGCAATCGCACTCCTCGCCGCCGCTTCCTCCGCCACCGGCGCCTGTCCTGCACTCTTGTTTGCTGCGGGAGCGGGGGAGAGGGCGGGCAGCGAGTCGCGCCGGTCATCGACGATCCCAAACTCGCGTTCTGCCGTCCGCGCCGCCGTGTCCGTCTGCAGCTTCCCTCCGCTCTGCACTACGCGGGGTAATGTCAGGCACGCGGATACACGACTCTTGCCCTCTGCTGGGCTGTCGTCTTCGGACGCATCGTGCTGCAGCGCCTCGCTGAGATCGTCCGTGAGAACCAAGCTCCGCCTGCGCGCGGCGAGATAGGCGTCAAACCCCGCCACTGCCGTACGGTACGACTCGACCTGGTGCACCAAGCCACCCAGCAACTCCACCAGCGCCGGCGTTTCGTTCCCCGCGTCGGATGCGTGGATGAGCCATCCCTCGAGACTGCGCAACGGCGAGCAAGCGAGCGCAACCACCACGCCCGTCGTCGCGAGATTCACCTCGACCGGCTGTGCAAAGAGCTGCGCAAGGCTGCCAAACAGCTGCTGCACCAACGAGTCCGTTGCCTGCAGCCGCAGCTTGTCCGCCCCGAGCTCGAGCGCGAGCGCAAACGTGCTATCGAGCCGCAGCGCGCGCTCGGCATCCAGGAGGTAATTGCCCAGCGACGCATGCAGCCAGTCGGAGCTCTCGCCGCGGCCAAACGGCGCGAGCAGCGCCGCCAGCGCATCCATCTCGCCAAAGTGCATCTCGATCCGTCCAACACCAAGAGCCTCGGACGCTTCGCCCGCTTCGACAGCCCACTCGTCTACCGCAGCTGAGGCGGGGTGGCGCGGCGCCTGCAGCAGCCCACTGCACGCCCTCACACCATGACACACCACCAGGGTTCTGGCGAGCTTGAGCGCCGCCACGCGCGTGGCTGGGCGCTTGCGCTCATCGAGGCAGTCGAGGATGAGATCCTTGACGCTGTACCGATCCGCGTGGTCAGCGGGTAAGTTGATCTCGTACGCCGCCTCGGCAGGCGCACCGTCGGCGGGGAGCAAAAAGTCGAGCGCCACGTCGGTCAAGATGTGCCCGCTGCGCAGCACGATCACCATGACATCGAGGTAGTTGAGCACCGCGGCCGAGCTGCCGTCAAAGTCGCTGCTCTCCATGAGCGAAGGATACACGACGTTGCGGATGAACGTGTCGCGGATGGCCAGCGCGATGGCGCGCGCGAGTTTGCGGATCATCGGATCCAGTTCCCGCACACCCGTCTCCTCCCTCACCGCATCCTTCTCACCCACCTCGTCCGCAGAGGTCGGCTCGGTGAGGTTTCTCGATGTCAGCCAGAGCGAGTCCAGCACGTCCTGGCAGAACTCGATGAGGTCGACCACCAGCCTCAGCTGCATCTGGAGCTCCTTGTCGTCGCTCTGGGTTGCCGAAGCCAGCGCCTCGGACGCGCCCGCCTCGTCGGCGTCGGAAGCCGAGCTGCTGGCCAGCGTGATGCTTGCCCGTCCGGGCTGCGAAGAGGACGGCTCGATCGAGGCCGGGTCGTAGCGCGGAGCCGGTTTCATGCGCGAGGGCAGCAGCCCGTACGCGGCACCCAACCCCGCCCCCAGCACATCGGCAAAGTCGGAATGCGCAATGAACGCCGCCAGGGAGCGTCGAATGTCATCGCCCCCAAACGAGACGCGCTTGGTCGCAGGTCTGCCCTTCACGCTCTGCAACGACGACTTTGAAGGCGCATTTACGCCCTCGAGCGAGATGAGAAAGAGCAGGCCTGCTCGCGCGAGCTCGCCAATGCGGCCCTCGCGGTGGACGAACTTGAGCAGATACGAAAAGAGCGGAAAGCGCAGTCGTCGCTTGGCGTGTTTGCGTGTTGTGTGTGCGGTCGAGGGCTGAATGGTGGCGGTAGAGTCGATGGATCCGGTTGGCGACGACGGTCTGCCCTGCCAGTCTTGGCTTGCAGCGCTCGCCAGATCCGGCGACGGGTGCCCGGAGGACGACGGATCGTCGAGCATGCTTTGGCTGACGATGACAGATCCGTCCTTGAGACTACGCACCTCGATCGACTCGTCTGCATCGTCGACCGGTTCGTCGGCGAAGAAGATGTGGAGCAGATCGGGGGTATTGCGGATGCGGCTCGCGATGTGGCACATGAGATCAACGAGGTCCTCTTCGTAGTCAGCCTCTGGCACCGCGGCTGCGGCGTCCGAAGACGACGGCGTCGGCCTGTTCGTTTCGAACGAGTCGTCGTCCATCTGGAACCTCGCTGCATCCTCGTCGAGACACAGCTGGATGAGCTGCGAGATGGGTTTGTTGACCGCGTGTCTCGACAGGAACCTCTCGTCGAGCAGGATGATGAGGTTGGTGAGCGTGCGGATCGTCTCTCCGCGAATGCCCTTGGGACGATCGTCGACGGAGAGATGCACGAGTTGCGTGAGCACATCGTACTTGAGGAGGTACTCCATGCATGGGCCCGTGTGGCCGTCGTTGCTGCGGTTGCTCTCGAACACGAGTGCATCCACGAGGCGCTGCAGCCTGCGTGGGAGGTCGGAGCGGGCGATGCCAAAGAAGAGCGCACGCTCGTCTGGGGCTTCGAGCTCAGCCTGGACGGCGTGCCAATCTGCGTGGAAGACGTCTACGCTGCCAACGGGGTGGAGCGAGGGCTTGTGGCGCAGACGCGGCGAGCCCGAGATGCCTGCAGCCGCCTTGGCGGGCGTAGTGACAAGGCCCGAGAGCCGGCTGAGAAGGTCCATGCTGGTGTTAGGATGCGCTAGGCGCGCAGACTTTCGCCGATGCCATGCGCACAAAAGGCGGGAGGCGCGTCCAGATGGTGGTTCCACGTCAGGACCCGGACTGGGGCTGTGGAGGCGGCAAAGTGTTGCTCTTGGCAGCTGCTGCACCCTGAGCACAGGGCAGGGCAGTGAGCACACGCGTGTCGGCGAAGGTTGAGCAATGTTAGACTTTGGAATTGGGGCCGCTTTGAAATGCTGACCAATTCAACAGCCGTGTTTCGAAGTCCTTCCGATTCGACGGCGCTCGTCGACACGCGGATTGGGCCTCGTATGAAGCCTTGGAATCCGACCATCGTTTGGTAGATCCGCAACCACCGCACCCCGGCCTCACGACGCATCAATGTCTGCCAACGCGCTCACCCGAGCCTTCCCCAAGGCGCTCAAGGAGGTCCGTCTGCACCTCTGCCAGACCGGTCAGGCCTCGGCCGGTGCGAGGTGAGTTTTGCTATCCCGGACCCTTTGCTCAAGACAGGCCACACGTATCGCAGCAGGTGATGGTCGAACGCTGACATCTTGTCTGTGCTGCCGCATCCTGCTGTGCTTTGCAGAAAGTTCCTCGAGTCCAACTACAAGCCCATCAAGCAGTCGAACCCGGACGTGCCGTTCCTGGTGCGAGAGGCGAGCGGTACGCCTGCGCGCGCCTTTGCGCGATTCGGTAAGTAGCATCACCAGCTGTCATCGACGACTCCCAAACGCAAACGATTCTAACTGACAACCGAATGATTGGGCTTGTTGGGCGCATCCTGCTTGCCGGTTTGATTGCAGAGCGTGGCGTGGAGAAGCGCGTCGAGCTCGACGGCCTCAGCTCCGCCGATGTCGAGAAGAAGATCGGCGAGCTGCTGTCGTCGTCGGCATAAGCTCTGTGCTGGTACGAATACATTCATCTGCATGCTCCCATATACAGCTATGTCTGAAACAGCACATGACGGATAGTGCGTGTGAATGGCGGGATGGACAGTGTCCCACCACGTTCACTCACGAAACTGGCGGTGTGTTGTGTGGCGAGACCGAAGCTGTGAGCTTTCTCCCATTTGATCCCGAGTGTTTCCCTCAAAGCCATGCTTTCATTGGTGCAGTCCCAGCGTACAAAGCGTCGACGAGGCACGAATGTGGTCCGGCGAGTGGATCAGCTGTGCCTTGAACTGGGCGTGAATTTGGACCGCCCGAAGACCGTGATTGACGGCGATTTTGGCCTGGAAATGCGAGGCTCGAGAGCAGCCTATCGGGGCTGAGCTATTTCGAGGTGGAGGCAGCAGCACCCTCTGCGAGCTCAGGTCAGACCGTTCGAGTAAGAGCTTGCCTCGCTGCCACCACACCCAAAGCGCCACATCGCCACGATGAAGATCACGTCGCGCCACATCGAGAAGGACGGCTCGGGACGGGTGACCATGGTTCCCGAGGAAGAGTGAGTGACTCGGCGCATGCTGGTTGTGCTTGCGCGAATGATCGCTGACCTTGCACTTTGTGGATGGACAGCGAGGACATGTATCATCTGTACAACCTCATCGAGCAAGGAGACCGGGTGCGAGCGGCGGCGGTGCGTCGCGTGCAGTCGGAATCGTCGACGGGATCGATAGAATCGCACCGGGTGCGACTCAACCTCACCATCCAGGTGGTCAAGACCACGTTCGATGCTACGGGCTCGAGTGCGCCTCCAGATCCCTCGGCCGCGTCTGCAGCAGCAGCAGCATCCTCCTCCACACCTGCAGACGAGGAAGTCAGCCGTGCTGCTGCGGTGGGAGGCTCGGGTGGGGAAGGTGCAACGCTGCAAGTGGCAGGCCGAGTGGTGGAGGAGAATGCGCACGTCAAGATGGGTGCCTACCACACGCTCGATCTCGAAATCAACCGCGCGCTCACCATCACCAAGGAGAGCTGGGACGCGGTGCATCTCGAGCGTCTGGGGGAGAGCACCGACGTTTCGCAACGCGCCGAGGTTGGAGCGGTTGTGCTTGGCGATGGCACTGCCGCCGTCTGTCTGCTGACGGGACACATGACGGTGGTTCGGCAGCGCATCGACGTGCCCATCCCACGCAAGCGCAAAGGTCTCCCTGCCACGGCAGCCGACAAAGCCACGGCGCGCTTCTACGTGCAGGTGTACAACGCGGTAGTCAAGCTGCTTTCGCTCCCAGCACTGCGACTGGTCATCCTGGCCTCTCCCGGCTTCACGCGCGATTCGGTGTACGACTTTTTGTTCGAAGAAGCCACGCGACGTGGCGACAAGATCCTCATCGGAGGCGAGGCGCGACGCAAGTTTCTCAAGATCCACTGCAGCTCTCCGCACGTCCACTCGCTCATGGAGGTGCTTCGCAGCCCCGAAGTGAATGCACAGCTCAAGGACACCAAGTTCGCACGCGAGGGTCAGCTGCTGGAGCGCTTCATGAAGCAGCTTGCCAGCGACGAACTGCGTGCATGGTACGGCGAGAAACACGTTCTGCTCGCCGCAGCAAGAGGTGCGATCGGCGTGCTGCTCATCTCCGACGGTCTCTTCCGAGCTGCCGATCCGGCGCGACGCAAAAGGTTCGTCGAGCTTGTCGAAGAGGTGCGCGCACAGGGAGGCGAGGTGGCCATCTTTAGCTCGATGCACGAGAGCGGACGTCAGCTCAACGCGCTCACCGGCATCGCTGCCATCCTCACCTATCCGCTCGACATCGAGGTTGTTGAAGCGGAAGAGGCCGAAGACACCAACCAGCCCAACGGCACATCATAGCAGCAGCAGCCTTTTGCATTCATCAATCGATACCAATGCCAAGGAACCAGCCACTTTTCTCCACTAGGTTGGTGTGACGATCTCACATCTCTGTGTGGAAAAAGGATGGGCACGTGACGCCAAACCAGCGTTGTCGAGGAGCGCTTGTGGGACGCGTTTTTGGCCAGCACCTGGCCGTTTGGAAATTTGCAGCCCGAGCCAGCTGTGTGTGTGTTGGTCTCCGGTTTGAGGGTTCATGCGTCTGGCGCGCATTGGCGGTTGTTGGTGAAGCTGCCCCACTGCCGATCCGCAGCCGATCTCGAACCTTGGCCCCAAAAGTGGAGCGGAAGCGAGTGAGCAGGTGACTTGAAGTGCGGAAAGAGTGTGCTGTGCTGTGATGTGCTGCACAGGAGAAGATGCCGGATTTCCACCTTTTCACCGTCACCTCATCACATCCGCACCTCATCTGCAACGCCGCGCTTCCCATCCCCCAGCATCTCTCGCAGCAACATCCACCCTTCTTCGATGCCGCTCAACATCAGCCTCGTCCCATCCTCGTAAACGTCCCGCCTTTGTCCGCAGTGAAGCCTGGGGCAGGGGCGTCGGCATACACTCGGCCTCGTACATAGTAGCGATCTCCTTCCGCCTTGCTGACACAGGAGCTGGACTCCAGTAGCAGCAGCAGCAGCAGCAGCAGCATCAGC